GATAGATAGATAGATAGATAGATAGATAGATAGATAGATAGATAGATAGAATTCTTTATTGGCCAAGTGTGATTAGACACACAAGGAATTTGTCTTGGTGCAAATGCTTTTAGTATACATAAAAGAAAAGATACATTTGTCAAGAGTCAAGAATATAAGGTACAGCACTTAATAATAGTCATAGGGTACAATAAACAATCACATCATACTAGGAAACAGTCATAGATATAGTGAATCACAGATTCACACAGAGATCTACCTTTCTGCAATCTGCTGCCTGAGTCTGCACTGAAAAATAGAAGCTTCAGTCTTAAGGAAGGTTCAGCTCTGCTCTCAAGCCATTCCTCCCCCTCCCCACAACCCCCTGAATACCACCCCTGACTGGGCCTCTCAGGGAAGCCTCCTGGGCAAAGGCAAAGCAATACAACAGCAATTTAGATTAGCTAGAAAGCAAGAAATCCAACAATTTCCTGCTTTCTAGCTAATCTAAATCTCCTGGCACAGCTGATAGTCAAAACAGCTGATTGTTGGAGGGAGGAAAAATAGCAACTTACCAAAAATTAGGCAAAGGCACAAGCAAGCAAGTTGGATGGCACACATGCCAGGTAAAGAGTGACTGGGTGGGGAGGGGAGGGGCAGGGGCAGCCAGTGGCATGATTTGCCAGTTCTCCAAACTGCGTAGAATTGTAACAACTGGTTCAATAGAACCAGTCCAACTAGGTAGAATCCGACCCCTGCTTGGGCAGGAGTTTGCACTAAAAGACCTCCAAGGTCCCTTCCAGCCCTATGATTTTATGAACTTTTAAGAGATAAAAGGAGATAAAACTAGAGATAAAACTAGCATCAATCTACATTATCTGAATCTCTATCACACAACTTTCAGGAGTCATTGGAAACATGTTGGATACTTAGCATAGTCCCAAAGGAGTGGCCTTTCATTATTTCAGGTTTAACCCATTTATGTACATAATCATAACAGAATAGAGATGGAAAGTGGAACAGCAGGTGATTCTTCTTCTAGTGCTTCTACATTAGGAAACAATTGGGCAGAGAGAGACCATTGTGTAACGGAGAGTAATTTTTAAGGCCTTTCAGTATCTTTATGAATTGGCATTCTGGGAAAAAAATAAATACATAATGGGAAAACTCAGTTTGAACACTTCCAGGAATATTGATGAAGAAGGTTTGCAAGGAAATCGTAAACATGAAATCCTTATCTCCCAACCTCATGTTCTTTTTCAGAATATCCAGAGTAAATGGTCAACTCCTCATAATAAGGAAACATTCAATTAAAAAAAATCACAGAGAATAATAATACCATTCCTGTAGTAGCATTTCCTCTGTAGAAAGTGTTACATTAATTATATTCATATGACATTGCTGGTAACTAAGCATTTGCTGAAGTACCTTCTTCAGGACATTCTTCATCACATATTTTCGCAGGCGTTTTTCAAGTTCTTCATCTGGACCCAATATAGAGGCTGTTCTCAAAATCTCTGGCAAGGAAAGATGGGAGGGGGGGAACTGACACTGTGAGACTCTTGATGAAACACAACATTGGTATATTTATGTGTTGTTGAATTGGTGCACACTATGCTTTTCCGCTAATGTTCAGAGGGGCAGGGATGTGATTCTGGCATCGTATGTGAATGTCTGTGTTTGTGAATATGTGTGAGTGTGCAGTGGTGGGATTCAAATCATTTAACAACCAGTTCTCTGCCCTAATGACCAGCTGGGTAGATGTGAGTGGGTGATCATGTGACTGGGTGAGTAACTCAATGTCACTGTGGGTAAAAATGATGAGAGGGACTTCTCCACTCCTTGAAATTCCCCTTTCTTAGAGGCATATATCAAAATAGGGGGCCCCCAGTTGGAAAACCTAGAACCATCCTAACTAAGTGCCTTTTATCCAGAGATCTCCCTAAGCCAGATCTATGTATTATACTCAAATTAACTAACTAGCTGGGAGAGAGTGATGGGCACTGTAGTCAGATACCACTGGAGAGCATGCCATTGGGGACAGACCACTAGAACTGGCTGGGTTCCTAACTGCAGCCAGGCTGATATGCAACAGCTCCAGCTTTATGTTTCTATTGTTAGGCTAAGCTCAAAAAAGGTTGGGAAACCAGCCATTTTGGCTTTGAGGGCTGCACCACCCTGCAATCTGGCTGCTTTGAGGATCACAAGCTAATATGTCTGCATCCCTTGCGCACTTCTCCCCTTTTGCGCAAATAAATTAAAACTGATTTTGCACCCCAGGACGCCACCAAACTCTCTCAGGTGAAAGTCCCCCAGGGATTGCAATGCAGGCAGAATATGGATGGGGAGGAGAGGAAGCAGACTTCAGCTGCTTCCAACCTTGCAAGAGGAAACTGGCCGCTCCACTCCACTCCCCTCTCCATCCCACTTCTTGCCCCTTCCATCTCTCCCATAAACTGGGGATCAGTGAGAGAGAGAGACTCTCCTGAGCTGTACATCTTCCATATCCAGCTCGCCTCCCCGGCCTGTGTATTTTTCCACAAGGCTTTCCCACCACTTCCTGTTCTGGCTATTTCCCTTTGGCTAATGCCCAGTGAGGGTGGAGTTGCAGAGAGCAACTGTCAGAGAGAGGCAGTGAGGCGGGGTATCTGAGCGATGTTCCTGCTCTGAAAACCTTCCATTACCCTTCTCCAGTGTAAAGATCGGGGCCTTTTTACTCCTTCCTAGACTGAGGAGATGCTCTGCGCGCAGGTTGCCTTTGGCCTTACCTTCTGAGCGCAACCCTTACCTCTGCAGGCAGCCATGGTGAGCAGAATGGTGCAAGCCCTGCTGGCTGGAAAGTAAGACCAATGGTAGGAAGGAAGACCTGCTCTAGGCCCACCACACTTGGTCAAAGGGTATGGGCCACCTCAGGGGGAGATAGCTTGGCTTGGCCACCTTTTGGGCTCAGCTCTCAGCTTCCACGGGCCTCAGGGCAGCTGCTGCCTGCTCACCTTCACCTCCACCTCAGGTCCTACATCCAGCCACGATGGGGGGATGGACCACTTCTGAGCCAGCTCAGTCAGTGGGTGGGCGAGCAAGCAATCCTTGGGGGAGAGTGCCACACTGGGGCCAAATCCACTCCAATACGGTGAGGTACTCACATGCAGCCCCGGGACATCTGTCCACCAAACAGCCAGAGCACTGGGTGCTCTGCTGGGTGCTGTCTCTGTTGTAGTTTGAGCAATGAGAGGCTAGACCAGGGCATGGATGCAACAATACTTTATTAAGGTAATAAAGGACTGAACGTGTTAGCCCCGCCTGGAGCAGGCTCACAGCGATCAGCGGCTGGCCGAACCCTGCAGCTGGCTTTTATAGCCGGCTGTCGAGGGAGGCCAGCCAATGAGGGGCAGCAAACGCCCCCGCAGCATGAACGGACCTGGGTGGGGACTTTGGCAAGTTCCAGGGACATAACACCCCTTCCCCCCAGATGCGAACACGCATAGTCATTTAAATAAGCGGGCGGTCTGTGCTGGCGCCCCGAGCGTCGTAACTCCGGTGAGTTACCAAGTGTCTCAGAGTTCAAGGAAACTGGTAGGGTTGGTGATGGGGTGCAGCCTCGCTCTGAGGTTTGCACTGGTACCGGTGCAGTGCTTCTGGTCGGCGATGTCGTGGCCCCGTCTGCTGGTTCAGGTGGAGGACCCATCGGGCAGTCCCGGTCTACTGCCTGCTCCCTAGGTCCGGGCGGTGGTGGCGAAGAGCTTCTGGCATGGTCTTCGATGAGAGTTTGGTGAGGCACCTGGGGGTCGACCTGAGCCCACGATCTGGCACTGGCGAAGGTACCCTGTATCTTCCTTAGCTGGTCCAGGTGTCTTCTCCAGATGCGGCCGTCTTCCAGCTGGACTCGGTATGACCTGGGACCGGTGATGGCTACTTTCACCCCTGGAATCCAAAGTGGGTCTCCGGCATAGTTCCTTGCAAAGACATGTTCCTGCAAGACAAAATCTCTGACCCCCGTCATTGAAGCGAGAGGGGTGTCAGGGCAATAGTGAGGGTGGAGCCTATCCAACACAGTTCTTAGGCGTCTACCCATCAGAAGTTCAGCTGGGGATTTGTTGGTGACCATGCAAGGGGTTGAGTGTTGGCTTAGCAAGAAGCGGGAGAGTCTGTGATGCCAATCTTCTTTGCTGAATCTGGCTAATGCTTCTTTTGTGGATCTAACGGCTCTCTCTGCCAGTCCGTTGCTGGCAGGATGAAAGGGGGCCGTGAAGATGTGTCGGATGCCAAGATTGGTGGCAAAACGGCTAAATTCTGTTGAGGCAAACTGGGGGCCATTATCCGAAACTATGGTATCTGGTAGCCTGTGTGTTACGAATAGGCGGGTCAGAGCCTTGGTAACCGCTTGCATGGTGGTCGTGGATAGTTGGGCCACATCGATCCATTTAGAGTATGAATCTACGACCACCAAGAAGGTTTTGCCGTGTATTGGACCCGCTAAGTCAATGTGTAGCCTTGACCAAGGCGCGTTGGCGCTCTCCCACTTTGTGGGGGTGGTGACTGGAGGGGAAGGTCTGGATTCCTGACAGGGTTGGCAAGAGCTTACCCACTTGGCGATGTCGTCGCCCAAGCCAGGCCACCAGACGTAACTCCGAGCCAACGCCTTCATCCGGACGATGCCCGGGTGGCCCTCGTGTAGTGCCTCTAAGACTGGTGTGCGAAGTGAGGCCGGGTGACAACCCGGGTGCCCCACAACAGGCAGCCCTGTAAGCTAGATAGTTCCTGTTGACGGGTCTTAAAAGGTGTGAATTCGGCTGCGAGGTTAGAGCCCGGCCACCCCCTCCTCACCCAGTCCAGTACCTGGGCGATTGTTTTGTCCGTCTTGGATTTGGTGGCAATGTCGAGGGCGGTGACAGGAAGGTTGAGCTCGGTGACATCGAAGATGGCATGGACCGGGGCCGGGTCTTCAGCTGGAGCTGGCAGGGAGCAGCGGCTGAGGGCGTCTGCGTGGCTTAGCGTTTTTCCTGGGCGGTGGATGAGCTTGTACGAATAAGCCGCCAGGAACAAGGTCCACCTTGTCATTCTGGGAGACAACACTTGGGGAGTCTGCTTGTCTCCAGATAGAAGACCCAGGAGAGGCTTGTGATCCGTGATTAGTTCGAAGTTGTGGCCAAACAGGAATTCATGAAATTTCTTTACCGCGGCCACTGCGGCTAAAGCCTCCTTGTCGATTTGACTATAGTTACGCTCTGTTGCTGAGAGCGTTCTGGAAAAGAAAGCGATTGGTGCCTCGGAGCCGTTGGGTAGTCTATGGCTTAATACGGCTCCAATCCCAAAAGGGGATGCATCTGCGGCTAGTACCAATGGGAGGTGTGGGTCAAATTGAATAAGGACCGCGTCTGATGTGAGCAGTGATTTGACTGCGCGAAAAGCGGTGTCTTCCTTGTGTCCCCAGTGCCAAGGTGATTTTTTATCTAAGAGCCTGTGTAAGGGCTCTGCTACTGATGCTTTCTGAGGTAGGAATGATGCATAAAAGTTCAATAATCCCAAAAAGGCTTGTAGCTCGGCTTTAGTGGTTGGCGTGGGTGCCTCATGAATTGCCTTGACCTTGGATTCTAGGGGGTGAATGCCTGAGGCGTCAATTCTATAGCCCAGAAAGTCCACCTGTCTAGTGGCAATGGCACATTTCTCCCTTTTTAATTTGAGGCCATGCTGTCTGAACCTGTCTAACACTGCTCTGACTCTCTGGAAGAGTTGGGGCCTGTCCCTGGCCGAGACCAATATGTCATCGAAGTAGGGCACTACGCCTGGGAGGCCCTGAAGTATACGCTCCATGAGGGATTGGAAGATGCCTGGGGCAACACTTACGCCAAACTGGAGACGCCTGCACCGGAAGGCACCCCTGTGGGTCACAATGGTTTGCAGTTCGGCTGTTTGGTTGTCAACAGGGAACTGTTGATATGCTTGTGACATGTCCAATTTGGCAAAAATGTTGCCAGGCTCAAAGGTATGCAATAAATGTTGAATGACCGGGACTGGGTAAGCGCTAACTTGTAGAAAGCGGTTAATTGTTGTTTTGTAATCGGAACAAATTCTCAGGCTGCCATCCTTTTTAAGGGGTGTGACAATTGGCGTCTCCCATTTGGCGAAGTCTGTCGGCTCAATGACCCCTTGCTTTAATAATTTATCCAGCTCTGCGTCCAGTTTAGGCCGAATGGCGAATGGGACTCTACGAGGTTTCAGCCGGACTGGAACCGCTTGGGGGTCAACTGCAAATGAGATGGGGGTACCATTATAACACCCCAACTCATCGCTGAATACGTCTGCATAGTCAGTGAATAAGGAGTCAGTGTCAGAAGCTGAGACAGCATGGACTCCTGTTAACCCTAGGCCGAGGTAGGGGAACCAATCAAGCCCCAAGAGACTAGGGAGGTTGCCGTTAACTACCACTAGAGGCAGGTGGCCTTTGAAAGCTTTAAAATTAACAAGGAACTTGTCTTTGCCGAGTACTGGAATGTCCTTTCCCTGATAGTCCCTCAAGGTGATCTGGCACTTCTGGAGCTGGTTTCTGGATAGTCTGGGCTGGATTTTCTTGAGAGTGCTCCAAGAGATGATTGAGAGCGCTGACCCCGTGTCAACCTCCATACGACAAGGTTTACCTTCTAATAAAATGGAGAGTGTTATTTTGCTAATAGAGTGACAGGTGTGGTTAGCATGGTAGCAAGTGTGACAATTTAGTACTTGCCTTTGGGGCCCAGAATGGGAAAAGGAAGGAACCTTTTGTGCTGAGACTCTGGCGGACTCTGGCGATGTGGCCTTTTTTGTGGCAATTGTTGCAGATGGCACACTTGAATTTGCACGAAGCTCTCGAGTGAGGTCCGCCACAGGATAGGCACAGGATGATGTGTTTGGGTGCGCTGTTGCTTTCTTGCCTGGTTCCTGCCTGTTGTTGTTTGGCATGAGTGAGGCGGTGGATGTCTGTTTGATCGTTGGGATCATCTTCGTTGACTACCTCTTCTGAGTGAACGGTGGCACAGCTTTGTTTGGGAACGGGACCTTGAATTTCAGTGGCTGACTGGGTTGCCAGTTCTGCAGCCAAGGCTTCCTCGACGGCCTGGGAGAGGTTGAGGTCCTTCCTGGCAAGTAGTCGCCTTTGGAGGTGAAGGTCTTTGACCCCGCAGACGAGCTGGTCAAGGAGCATGTCATCTAAATAGTTCCCGAACCCGCAGTGGAGAGCTGCAGTCCTCAAGGCGGCCATATACTGGTTGACGGTTTCCTTTTCCGCTTGCTTCCTCATCCGGAAGGTGAAACGCCTCACGATCTGTGAGGGCCTGGGGGAGTAATGATTGGTGAGGATCTCCAGCAATTCTGCCCAGGGGACATTCTTTAACTCACGTGGAGCAACGAGTGCTGTGGCAGTATCAAAAACGATGGCTCCGCAATAACTGAGGAAGAATGACTTCTTTCTGTGCTCCCCAGCATCAGCCAGACCAATGGCATCGATGTAGTGGTTAAAATGATTTTTGTATGATTCCCACTTTTCTTCATCAGGCTTGAACGGTGGGAAGGCTGGGTTGGAGTTCATGTTGAGGCTTCTGCAGGTTACGCTGCTGTAAGATCTCTCTGGGACGACAAATGGCCCTTCGTGCTCTTGTCAGGCTAGTGACTTCAGCTCTTGAGAGGTTACACAGAATCTCTCTGTTCTCTCTGGGTTACGCTATGGCTCAGGCTGCAACGGTCGTTGGCAGCGTTATTTGAATTTCGCGCTCCTGGAGAGCGTAGGCGGTAGTGGCTGACCGCAGCTGACAGTGATTTGAATCTCGTGCCCTGTGCTGGCGTCAGAGACTCCCGGAATGGCAGCACCGCGCTGTATTCCGACTCGAATTCAAACGACAGCCGTTTGAATTCCGCGCTCTTTTTGGGTTGAGCGGCTGCGGCTCGCAGCGCTTCACTTTCCCTGTAGCTTGCTAACTGAGCGGCTACAGACGCTCTTCCTTTCGCTTTTGCTGACCGAGCTCTCCGGCGGCGCGGCTGCGGCTCAGCAATTGAGTGATTTCAGCTGTTGCGGATTGCCTCTGGTAGCCATCCCATCCTCGTCGCCAGTGTTGTAGTTTGAGCAATGAGAGGCTAGACCAGGGCATGGATGCAACAATACTTTATTAAGGTAATAAAGGACTGAACGTGTTAGCCCCGCCTGGAGCAGGCTCACAGCGATCAGCGGCTGGCCGAACCCTGCAGCTGGCTTTTATAGCCGGCTGTCGAGGGAGGCCAGCCAATGAGGGGCAGCAAACACCCCCGCAGCATGAACGGACCTGGGTGGGGACTTTGGCAAGTTCCAGGGACATAACAGTCTCCACTGAGATCCACTGAGGTCTCCACTGAGATCTGAAGAGCAAGATGCTTGGCCAGTGAAGGTGTATGGAAATTCTGGAATCCCTCAAGGCTTTTGGTATGGATCAGATTGTCCAAGGCTTTGCTCCCCAGGGAGGGCTTCATGGAGAGTGTCTTTGGCCTTGTGGAAGCTGAGAGCAGGGCCCAAAAGGTGGCCAAGGCTGTGTTTCCCCCCAAATGTGGCCCAGCTGAGCACAGCAGGCCCAGAGTGGATCTCTCTCCGCCACCATCGGCCTTACCTTCCAGCCCATGGGGCTCACAGTGCTCTGCTCACCATGGCTGCCTGCAAAGGTAAGGGCTGTGCTCAGCTGAAGGGCATGGGCTAGTGGGTGGGTGGGGGCTGGCTGGCAGAGAGGTGATGTGGGTGGCACAGTCTCATGGTCCCTGGCCACCCCCTTCCCACTGGCAGCCATGGTAGGTAAGGCCTGGCAGCTGCAGAGAGCCCGGACAGGGAGGGTGAGATGTGAGCTGTGAGCAGCGGCAGTTCAGCCTTGGCTTGACTTTCTCTCTGCCATACCCATGGGAGGAAGGGAAGGACAGGCGGGAGACAGCCAGTGGTGGGATCAGCTGGTTCACCAAACTGCAGAAAAGTTTAGCTACTGGTTCGGGTGAACTGGTGAGAACTGGCTGAATCCCACCACTCTGTGTGTGTGTGTGTGTGTGTGTGTGTGTGTGTAAGTTGTAGTAGCGGCATCATTTTCTGAGTAATTTTGATCTGAAAAGAGTTGTGAATCCTCTCATATTTTCAATTTAATATAGAAATCATATAGCAACCATAACAGTACAGTCACTTTTCACTGCCCCTTCTATGTATTCAAAACACATGTAAAAGAAGTTCCTGGTTAATTTTATAGTTGGTTAGTTGTACTTGGGAAATGGAAGCAGCATTCTATTGCCAAATGCATGTCTCGTATATTTAGTTACATAGATTTGTTCTTGATATAAAGAAAATGCTGTTATATTTTATTAATGAACAAAGCAATCTAAACTCTCTGATAAATTTTAGAATGAAACTTTCCTACATCATTGTAAGACTGAGATGTTATTTCAATTAGGTTAGAAAATCAACTGCAATGGAATAATAACAATAAATGAGCTGAGAAAACTCCAAACCTCAATGATCCTGAAGAACTCACCAAAACTGTCACAAATGTGATTCTGATTCAGATAGTCTGCACATCTGTCAAAGAATTCATCAGTATCAAAGTCAGGGACATTTCGAATGTATTTAACCTGGAGGTATATAAAATTATAGCTATTCAACAATGTTTTGTCAGCTATCTATAGTCAATGTCAATCATTTTTCTAACATGAGAAACCAAGAATATGGTGTTATGTAAATTATAGTAGCAATTTTATCAGCCTCTTAAACACAGGGATGATTTTTAATGCACATTTTTACTAGTGTGGTGAAATGTAGTGCAGATTCCCAGGAGGGTGGAATGGCATTCTGGAGACAGTGAAATTTAAATACTTTGGTTGGGAGGAAGAAAGTCATGTCAGCTGCTCCCTGCAGGTAGTCAGAATATATATTTAAGGATTCAAATATCTTTAAGGATTCAAATAGTTTGCTTGAATTTCCAAGATTTTGTCTGTTGGAATGTAGAATTTGTGCAACAACTACATTAGTATTCAGCCAGTAGATGGCACTGTTTGCAACTATTGTTATCCTCTATGTCAGGGGTGGGCAATTAATTTCTGTCGGGGGCCACATGGAAATTCAGATCTGTGTTCGAGGGCCGAACCAATTTTACTAAAGGCCATTATAAAGGGCCCATTATAAAATGCAGCAAATTATATATAAGAATATTAT